ATTTGGGAAGTGAGTTGACGTTAAACGTGTGAGTGAACAAGAAGAACGATATTAGCCAGCCCAACATGTGCACAAGCAAACGTACTAATATGACTTCGCAGCGATCCAAGCCAGCAAAAATCGTTTTGTCCACAAATGCCCTATATATAATTCACGAAGAAGCTCATGTATGACTGTTACTACTTTACTGAAATGCCAATATGGAGAGTGTTGTCAGATTTCTTACACAAACGCAGACGCTTCCCTTCTCAAGATCAAGACCGAGTTGTCCTGAGTAAGAATTTAGACGCTTTGGTTTGGTACGTCTTGTTAGATTTGAAAGTGAGACACATGATTACAATAAGCTGAAAATAGCGTCCGCGGGTCAAAATGAAAGCATTTTTTCCGCGGTCCATTTGACGACTGACGAATGAGGATTGGAAGATCTATGATGAATAAGAAATAGTAGAGAGCCATATTCGCTCGTATGCTGAAATGAAAAGATGTGTTCAAAGAAGCATCAAACCCATTTAATTTTGCCTCTACAAGTGAAAAGATGCTGAACTTTTCGTAGAGTCCTTTGTATTTCTGCATTCAAATAAGTTTTCTACATATTCGTTTGGTTAGAATAAAAACGAAAAAAGCAATTTTCACTTAAGATTGATGGACAAAAGAGCCGAAGGCAGGATGAGTAAAAAGTGATGACTGAATATGACAAGATGGAGGCGAAACGAACTGCTTTTCCAGGTTGAACCGAATAAATGAAATTCATTGGAAACTTTTTAGCACATTCAGCGCACGAGATTTGATCCTAAATAAATAAAGAATGAGTGGGTTGGAAGGTTTTTGCATACATGAAAAGGAACACTTTTTTGTTTTTGTATCGAATTCATCAGATAATAACTAACCTCCAAAATTTTCAAATTATATTACAAAATACTGTAAAATACTGCAGCATACGATGGAATCGCTACAGTTTAGAAAACTACGATCAATTGATAATATTTGCAAGAGAAAAGAAGGGCTTTTAATTAAAGTAATCTTGTGAGGCCGACTAAAACATATATGGGTCAGCAAAGAAATGATATTGGTTTGAAGAGTGTGTAATTAATGAAGATCATGGAAGGAAGAGAAGTATGGAAGAACCTAGTCGATAGTGTTTGAGGTCGCTTGAAATAGAAAAATTGGAAGATTTACTGGATGACATTAAAAATCGGAAACATAAAAATATGTAGCCACACTGACTCAAGATACAAAACGAATACTAACGAATGATATATATATATATATATATATATATATATATATATATATATATATATGTGTGTGTGTGTGTGTGTGTGTGTGTGTGTGTGTGTGTGTGTGTTATTTACATCATTTACAGTAAGACTAATGTCCAGGTATCACTCGATCTGGATAAAAGGAATTTCTAACTGAGCCCCCTTTTTTTTTTAAAAACTACAAATTTTAAATCGTTTTCGTTCCGCTCTCCATATCTCAGGATATCTTCCTCTCGTCTTGTTACTTTCGATACAATAGCCAGAGGATTAGAGTGTACGTTAATGAATATTTTGGCATAGTTATTGTGAATTCTATTCATAATATCCCCCAAAATATAGTCGTAATAAAACTGGCCTTTTTTTTCCTGATATCTTCTATTGTTCTATGATCACTCGAATTACTTTTCTTAATCATCGACCATCATAAAATTTCAAAAAAAAAATTCATTTAAATACAATCCAGTTTGTCACTTTCGATTAACGTATTTAAAAGTCATATATCAATGTGAATAAGATTGTGGAAACTATTTGGAATGCTTAAATTTATAAAACTCAGATTCAATTATTTACAATACCTTCTCCATAAACTTTACTTTTTTTGGAGGTTTTTGCATTTCAGTTAAATTTTTAATAATTGCTCATTTTCTTTCATCTTCAATGTTAAAATTAATAAACAAAAAAACAAAACAAAAAAACAAAACAATTAAAAACATAAAATAATGCACATTGTGAAAATGAATTCACTTGTGGCCTTTTTGGATGAAATTAAAGCTATACGCTCCTATTGACACATCACAACAAAAGCAACGTAATATTTTCGGCCAACGCAAAATAATAAAAGCATATGATTATTTTATTTTAATTACACATTATTATTATTATTATTATTATTATTAATATTACTACTACTACTACTATGATATAAGCATAACCATGCACAGATTAATCAAGATTTAGTTTCTTGTCTGAATCCTTTGCTGTCAATAGCAACATTGCCTAGATACACATGCGTTGAGGTGCACTGAGCTTTCGTGTCGACAGAACGTAGCGAAAAAGGACAATAGAATAAGGCGTGCCGGGCTACCATAAAAGTGAACCAGTCAGTTAAACTGTATAAAGTTCTGATACTTTAAGACTCACTATTATTAAGAAGACTTGAACAATTCCGGTAAGTCGGGTCTAAAGGACAACTGCTAGTTTATTATTATTATTGCTGTTGTTGTGGTTGTGGTTGTTGTTGTTGTTGTTGTTTCCTTGAGTTTCTGTTGTAAACAAATTTCCTTCCGGGTCCCAATCAGATGTTAAATAATAGTTTAGCAGATTATTATTTTTTAGAGAAGTGTATCTCTGCTTGTACTTCCTGAGGACGACCTTAGGGATCAGATACAAGACAAAATAAAAGAATTCAATTTTGATTGGCTGGGCCATCGTCGGAATGATAGATACAGAGAAAGGTTTTTTCTGAGAGCCGAATTTTAGCCGTCGAACAATGTAGACGTGTTTTCGTTTCGTGTCTGAAAACTGCTCTCCAGTGGAGGGAGAGAGCAACTCCACTAGCTAGTTAGAAGATTTATACGTCGACGTTAATAAACTAAGTTAAAATTCCATTTTTTGATGTCTTTCATCTCGGGACCTCAAAACATTTCGCCACACGGGCAGGAGAAGACAAGAGAAAAGAGAGAGAATACAATATTGTATTAAATTTGCGACGTTCCCAGTATGAGGGGCCTATACAACATAGACATATTTGGCGCAGTGACCAGGATCTCCCTGCATAGTGGGGGACGCAGAATGGGGGTTACAACACAACGTGGGAGAGTTCAGAGAGGATTTTCGGAAAGAAAATATGAAAGAAAAGAGTAAAAAAAAGTAATCGAGACATAAGGTCAGAAAAAAAACTAACTGTAAGTACTATGACATTACTATGTTCTACGGCTCATCCCCTCCCCCAACACACATCTAAGCAACAAACCAAAATAGGAAGTAATGATGAAAAAAATGAATAAAAGTAAAAATCAGGGCTTTATGGACAGACAATGAAAAAATGGAGGAATAAGGAAAAGAAAGAAAGAGGGGACACAGTGAACACCCACACTCACGTATACACATTTGTACGACAATATCAATTTTGATGAAACATTTTAGTGAGAGACTAATTTTTGTTGTTTTGTCTTGTCTTTTTACAAAAGTTTAGAACCATGTTAGGAAATCTATTGTTGATTTTTATTGTCACGCTTTAATGTTTTTGCGTGAACCCAAATGTATTTCTGGCAGTCTGTTTTTCTTTTATTTTGTTGTGCAAAAGAAAATTTTCTGGAGAAGGAAATTTGACCAGTAAATAAATTTTCCTGGTGTTGACCTTTGAGGAAGTCCGATGTTGGCCACCTGAATTCGCGTGCTTGAACACAATGAAAACGAAAGACTGATGGCATGTTGTGATGTAGCATTCCCACTGTGATTTCTGTGTACTGTTAATGAGTTAAAAAATTTTGTGACTATGGTTTTACGTGAATTCAAAAGTTTAAAGTTTTTTGTTAATCGTAATTAACTGACAAATGATTGTTTTGTCCATTTTTGTAACAGAGTGTGTAATTTTTTTTTTGTTTAGAGCCGTGTGTGTGTTTTTTGCCTTCATTGGTTGAAGAATTAAGTTGTTAATTAGTCAATTTTGAGAGTTAAATTTTTGTGGAAAAATTAAGTTAATTATTTGTGAGAATAAGTAGATTCGGCCTGCATAATTTCGGGTTTCCGAATGTGTTTGTGTCTGTGTCCTGGGGTAAGCTTCTCACATCTGGCTATGTACACTGAAACCAGACAATGTTGGGTAGAGTTGGAGCGGTACGCTATAAAGTATTCGGAACAGAATGGATATACCCTAAGATACGCACGGGGCCTATGGATGGCCCTGACGACCAAAAAGTAATTGTTCAAGTGTCTTGTGGGATTTCAGGTCACGGTAGACGACTGAGGGTAGAAAAACCTTGTAACCACGATAGAGCCAGTAATGGATTAGCTAGGAGGCGCTGAACGGGTGTGGTTGCTTTCCCCGTAGGGGGAGAGGCAGCCAAGGGCAGAAGGATATGAGATGGTGCCAGTTAAGTTTTGACACACAGAGGCAGATGGTTAATAAAAGTGATTATAGAAAATTAATGGTGGTAAAATTGTGAAGATTTGTTCAAGTAAATCTGATAATACGCAAATAACAAAGTAATTAATTGGTTGTGGTTGAATGAATAGGGTGATGTTGGATGGTGTGTGCTGTGGGAAATAAGGGTGGATATTTAAAGTGTAAAACTTAGGTGGCAAGGACGTGGCTCAGTTATGGAAGTGGTTGATGCTGTGGTGTGTGAGGCTTTCGACATGTATTGTGTGATTTTTGGACCAGTATTTTTTCTGTCAATTGTATGTACATTTCGTGTAGTCTCAAGTGAAAAGAGGTTTTGTTCTCCCCAGGAATATTTGATTGCAGAGGTAATGCCTGCTGACCTGAGTGACATGGAGATATTGGAGAGGTCAAATTTCAATGTTGGAGTGTCATGTATCCAAATTGGCGTCTGATGCGTTGACCTTGAATCACGGAAGCTAGTGATCAAAAATGGACAAAGTATTGTCCGGTATTCCTTTCTTTGTTAAAAAAATGTTAGTGAATCGTGAAAAAACTGATCAGAATTTTGTTGTTTATGTTCATTCTTTTTCAGGAACGGTTTATGTGCATGACAGAGGGCTGATGGGACAGAGGACTGATGGGACAGAGGACTGATGGGACAGAGAACTGATGGGATAGAGGGCTGATGGGATAGAGGACTGACGGGACAGAGAGCTGATGGGACAGAGGGCTGACGGGACAGAGGACTGACGGGACAGAGGACTGATGGGACAGAGGGCTGATGGGACAGAGGACTGATGGGACAGAGGACTGACGGGACAGAGGACTGATGGGACAGAGGGCTGATGGGACAGAGGGCTGACGGGATAGAGGACTGATGGGACAGAGGACTGATGGGATAGAGGACTGATGGGACAGAGGGCTGATGGGATAGAGGACTGATGGGACAGAGGACTGATGGGATAGATGACTGATGGGACAGAGGACTGATGGGACAGAGGGCTGATGGGACAGAGGACTGATGGGACAGAGGACTGATGGAACAGAGGACTGATGGGATAGAGGGCTGATGGGATAGAGAACTGATAGAACAGAGGACTGATGGGACAGAGGTCTGACGGGACAGAGGACTGACGGGACAGAGGACTGATGGGACAGAGGACTGACGGGACAGAGGACTGATGGGATAGAGGGCTGATGGGATAGAGGACTGATGGAACAGAGGACTGATGGGATAGAGGACTGATGGGACAGAGGACTGATGGAACAGAGGGCTGATGGGACAGAGGGATGATGGGACAGAGGACTGATGGGACAGAGGGCTGATGGGACAGAGGACTGATGGGACAGAGGACTAATTAAGAAGAAAATTTCAGGAGCACGCCTTGCAGACACAAAAGAGTAAAGGGGATTTTAGAGTAATATTGTTGAAATAAAATTCATAAATGATTTTTTTAATGATTAGGTAAGGTTGTTAAGTAATAGTGTCGCAGGCTATTATTTTAAGGGGAAGCTTTGATTGCCTGACGTTGACCTTAGGGATTAGATACGAGACAAAATTGTCTTAACTAGCGTGGGAATGATAGAAAGGTTTTTCAAGGAGTTGGTTCTTACATGTCGGGCAATGTAGACGTGTTTCTTTCGTGTCTGGAAACTGCTTTCCAGTTGGGGAGAGAGCCCCACCCCTCATTCTGGATATTTAGATGATGGATACGTCGACGTTAATAAAATAGTAATGTAAAATTCCCTGTGTTGAAGATTTTTCCATCTGAATCAAAATCACCGGCCATGAAAGAATGCAACATTATGATCGAATCGACATCGTCGTCCAAGAGCACCCCATCAAGTGTGTGTGTGTGTGGGGGGGGCTATACATCACAGAAGGCCAGAAATGGTTTCATGACATCTGCCACTGATCATTTTTTTTTTGTAAAAAAAAAAAAAAAAAAGAAAAAAACTAAGATCACACACACACATTTTACATAGACAAAGCCCTTCGTAAGGTGTGAGCTGTATTTGGGAGTGCAATTTTTTGTATTAAAGAAATACAAAGAAAGACTTGAGCTTCCATGGCCCCTTCAATGAGTCTATCGGAACCTTTTCCAATCAATCCGAGGGCTCCAACTATAACTGGAATTTGATGTTCTCACGTACCACACTTCTGTGATTTTTGATTTCATTGTAAAGTCACATAAAATTATTATTATTATTATTATTATTATTATTATTATTTTACTGTTAAAACAATTCAGTAATGTTCTAACTACTGCTTTTATAATTTTAGTACCTGGAAATACACTAATTACTATCTTCCGGTCTTAATTTGTTTTTTTCAACAATACTCAACTCCTGATATCTATGCATGGTGGAAAAATGTTTAAAAAGCCAGGAAAGTGTTTTATTACAATTACCAACCGTGTAAACAATTGATGAAATTGGAGTAAAGATGAGAAATAAATGAATGGCTTTTGGTCTGATGTGAAAAATAGCAGGAAAAAACGAAAGATTTGGCGTTTTAAGATTTCATTAAGCTCTATAAAATCATTGGAAATTGAGAATTTTTTTTAAGCGAAAACGAATGAATAGAGATTCTTGAACAATCATTTATTTATTTATTTAAATATCAATCTTTCTTAACATTTTCTCTAATTTTCTATCTTTAAAAGCGACACGTTTCTTACATCTGTTTTTCTATTCTTAAAATTCTTTCTTTTCTTTTCTTCTAACGTTTGCCTCAACCTTTTTCCATTCCTTCCTTTTTGGTTTTCTATGTTTACCATTATTTCTGTGTCTCCTCTATCACGCCAGTCACACTAAAACAGGCTCGTCCTACAAAGTAACCCTTTTTGTTTTCATATCGAATTTATAAGATAATAATTGACCTAAAATCTTTGAGAATGGTAGTAATACAGGCACGTGTAAAATTTTAAAGTATTAAAAAAAAGAAACTTCCGACTGAATAATTTCTTTTTTTTTATGTGCCGTATCTCTTCAGGATTTTGACAATCATGACTTATTTGTTTTTTAGTAATATTGTATACACTTACTTTCCCTCTAAGTCCATGTTCTGCCATCTAGAGCTCATTAGGTAGGTTACATGATGTTTCCATCTGCCACTCTTGCTATTAATATATCATGTGGGTGTTAAATTATCCAGGCCTTCTTTCCTCATTAGGTGTCCTGAAAATTAATTTATCGCTTACTGATTTTATATATAATTACCTATTTTGCTTATATTTTCCTTAAAAGTTGCTCACATCTTTCGTCCATTGTAAACTCAGCATAAGATTTTGTGTGATCACAACTCAATTGCTTCAAGTCTCCTCTGTGAGGAAATTGTTCAACATTATACGGGAGGATTGATATTACATAGCAGTTCGGCACTTTTCTTTGTTTCTAACAATGATGTCATCCTTTAATATTTGTTTAGCTTTTGGAAGATATTTTTTCGCTATTCCGACGATGCCTTCGGATTTCGGTGTCACATTTACGGTTATCTATTATAATACTTCGCCGACAGTTACATTACTGTACCTTGCTTCATTCTGACGTCCCCGATCATTCTGACGTAGCTCCGATCGTTCCTCTTGAGAACCACCATACATTCTGTGTTCATATTGAAATTAAAATCTCCCAATAGCAGAAAAGGATAACAATTCAAAAACTAAGAAAGTAATCAGAAACACATCTTAGTAAGCAATGATATCTGGCACGTGGACACAATAATGGAGCTCTCACTGATGATCAACTCCATGCCATTAACAATAATCTACAGAACTATCTTTGTAACCACCAACCTACGCCAGTCCCCCAAAACAGGTATTTACTAATGCAAAGAAACTGATAATCTCCCTTTAGACAGTTTTACCAAATGATGCAACCGATAGAATAGCGAGCAAACAAAGACACAGATAAAAAGAGAAAGGAAAAGAATAAAGATTGATAGAATAAGTGAATAACAGAGTAAAAGAAAAATAAGCACAAAGAAGGAGGACGGGGATGAAAAAGAAGAAAAATGATGAAGAATAAAAAATGAGAAAGAAAAAGAAAGAGAAATAAGTGGAAGAAAAAATAGAAGAAATTTTATATACGAAAAAAAAAATCAGTTCCGAATGATCTTCTTCAGTGTCTGAAAAGCAGCTTTCCTTTGTCACTTTTTTCAATTTTATTTTTTATTTTTTACGAGTCGCCTGACGCTCGTTACCCGACGCTGTCGGCTGCAAGAATCTTTCCCATTCCTCCCGGAGGCGTCTTTCGTAATGGCGGATCTAAATTAGCTGAGTTCCCATGATGCATTTCTCTCTCTGCACGGAGCCAAGTTACAATAGTGATAACAGACTCCCTCAAATTAGGAGAGCGCTGATGTTATATTTATGAAAACTGCATCAGAGGGAAAGAAAACGAATCAGAGACACTAAAAAGAAATGCAAAAATAATAAGAAGAATACAAAGACGTAGACAGGAACAAACATGTCGCTTTGGCTCTCTTTTTCTCCCTCTCTGTTTGTATATATAGTTAAAAAAATATTTATTTTATGTCTGTTTCAAACTATATTTAAATCGCTAAATTTGATTTGAATCTCACTGTATACACACATTCACACATATATAATTAAAAATGTTGAATTAAAAATAAATCCATTGATTCTAAGGAAATATATACATATATAGGAGGCACGGTGGAGTAATGGATTGCGGCTTGGATTGAGGAATCGCAGAGCCGAGTTCGAATTCCATTCGAATCCATTACATCCATTACGTGCTAACACCCTTGGGAAAGGTATGAATCCTCTTCTTCTCCCTGCAGCTATGGGTAAAATAGCAGGACAGACTGGGTTCTATAGCCTTGGATGGCAACTGGTCTAGGAGAAGGACAACTCTGAATTCAAAACCTGCGGAGAGTCGTTTGGGAAACTTGTGGCACACAGTGCACCAGGTCTCTGTATTCGTCCCTTCAAAAAGTGTGGATGGTCCTGCACGAAGCCTTCACCAATATAATCAAATCTCATGTGCCGGTGTCGCGATGTCAGTTTCCTGGAAACTGGTCTGCTTGACCCTCATACGTCGAATATCGACTACTATATATATATATATATATATATATATATATATATAAGGTATGCTTTATTTATGGGTAAAAGTGTTCACTATCAGGGATAGAGCGTATGTAAATATGGAAGTGGATTCTGTGGTCAAAAGTAAGCGGTGACAATCAATTTCTGTTTCATACACACACACATACATATATTGCTAAGTGTAACAGAAAACGGATGTCTATTATGTTTTATCATGGGCCTTTCCAAGCGTTGTATAATGGTTTTAGTTTCAAGAGAAAATAAAAACAAAAACTGTCCAACATTTGGATATTTCTTTATTATCGATGTTGTTGAGTAGTCATATGTAGTGAAAATCTCTATTGTAATGTCCATATAACCACGCTGATGATGGCTTTTTTTCTTTATTTTCTGTTGAACGACTCATGATAAAACACAATAGACATTCTTTGTCTCTTATATTTAACAATATATGTTTGACCAATGATCTGCTGCCCCTATACACTATATATATATATATATATATATATATATATATATATATATATGGGGGGGCGCTTCAGTATGGTATATTTAAGGCAGAAAGTACTCATTCAAACATGTTTTGTTTAACGCAACCGACAAAGTCTCTGTTTAATTTTATCTATTGTATGTTTTAAATTTTCGAGTAAGATGTGTATCGGGATACACATACATACATGTACACGCACACACACACACATATGTCTCACACACACACACATATATCTATATATAGATAGATAGGTAGATAGATAGATGGATAGGAAACAAAATAAAAAATTCAAAAATTTATCTTCCCAATTTCAAGTTTCGCAGTTTTAATCAGCTTGTCAGTGGGTTCGATAATTTAATTGAATTTCCTAACAGCTATCATATATTGCTTAAAAGACATTACGCAAAACTTTTTCTTTTAATGTTAACTTATTTTAAATTTGTTCATGCTGGAGGATGTTATTGCATGACATAAACTAATACGAAATTGTTCGCTTATGTTTATTACATAATTTTATATAAGCAAAGTCTCTTCCGCTGTTGATAGGAAAATCTTAAGTAAATACAGTAATTTATATTATTTGTTTACTATTAATGTTCTATTTTTTAATATTAAGTATTTAATCTTTGTTTTTTCATATATACAGGGTGCGATGGGTAAATTGTTGACATTTTATATTTTTAATTTCGCACATGCGTGTTTCTTGTTTTTGATTTTGTCGACTACACAGTATAGTAGAGTCAGTTGGGCACCTTATGCGAAAAAAAAAAAGAGCACCATGACGCAATTCACCCCGACACCTCATGCTGTACTGTATGGCATTCGTGCCGGAAGCTCCAATACAAACATTTCAGTGTTTGGGTGTCAATCTGAAGACAGTGTAAAGGATTCGGAAAGAGTTCGATGAGTCTAATGGTGATTACGAAGGTAGGGAAGCTCGAAAAATTCACTCTGATCGTTTTGAAGAAAAGAACTCCTGAATTTGTTGGTGAGGGCCTATGTCTGAAAACAGGGCTCTGAACCCTACCACACAATCAGGAGCACTTTAATCATGGCTATCAGACAATTTCTGCGATCATATCACCCCTTACATCGGGTCACTTTACTTCCCAGACTGCAACCCCCCTTGATTATTATGTGTGGGTCGCAGTTGAGAGAGAGACCAACGAAATTCCTTGTAACACCAAAGATGAACTGAAGGCAAGGATTATGTCAACATTCACCAGTTTAAACAAGGAGACCACCCAGAAGAGATGCAGAAGATTCTGGAGTCGTTTGGAGGCGATTGAACCCAATGGAGATATTATTGAATAAATCTACTCTTTAGTATTTTAAGATATTTTGTGTAAGTTTGGTAAATATATCTGTTAAAATGAGATGTCTGTGTTATTTTCCTTTTTGCGTAAATTTATCCATCACAGCATATATTAATAATATATATATTTATTATATATTTATCCATCACAGAATATATATATATATATATATATATATATATATATATATATATATATATATAGCAACGTCGAACATAGTCAGGACCTAGATGGGTGACTGCTTGGAAATACTGGGTAGCTGTAAGCTTTCATGTGGGCTGATGTAATGAATTGGAAAATTCGATGTGCGGGTGGTGTCATAATAATTCGGAATTGGAATTCCTATTTGAGTCCACTTTGTAATATTCCGTTACGCGCAAAGATCCTTGGGAATGGTATGAATTCACCTAATATCCCCCCCTGCCCCCGACTATCGGTTAATTTAGTAGGATTTATATCAGTAAAAGTATTATTATCTCCAAAAGAATTCTTACAATCTAAAAATATTTTCTGGCTTTAAATAACCTGAAAAAGGTTGATAAGCCATAAAAAAACGAATTAATCAATTAATCGTAGTCAATATCATGTAATGAGCCTAAAAAAGTTTTCACGCTTTAAATAGATTCGATGTGCACCATCGCTTTATCCAATCAGTATTCGGCGCAAAAAAAAAAATTTTAACCCACCAATTTGCTTTCTTAGATTTCCTTGTGATCTACTATATTGCTATGAAAAGACAACACCGAATGAAATCGTTATTTATATTTTTGATCAAGCTGCAATGATCCATCTCTGCCAATTCTTTTCTCACTTGAATCAAACACCAATGTCTGCATCGACCATTTACCTCAATTTATTAATTCCTGATATTCATCAAGCTACTACTAAATTATGTCGTGCTGACCTAAATATATACTTGCGTTACATCGCCTGCGATGATTTTGATATAATGGCTGCCTGCTCGTTTCTCAGTATGCTCATCTGCTAGGGTGTCTCTCCTCTATGAAACCTCTTCAGGTACAGTTTCTTCAACATACGCAGGGCCAACCAATTGTTTATCTTGTAACAGTAATTAAACAAGGCAAGTAACAGTTTCTCTCCTAAAGCTTAGGTCAACTCTTGGTATGGCTTTCAGGCACTTCTTTACTATGTCACAAGCTGGGATCATCTCACCCAGACCAATATCATGAAGTCAACTCCTTGACAAATCGACCATACTGAGGTTCGCACCCGGGTCTCATGGTCGAATCGCTAAATTTCTTGCCACTCGACCTCGCTCCCATACTTAAGACCAGAGCCAAATTTAGGCCTTTACGAGACCCCAGGGCTAATAGAATTTGCAGCTCCCCTTCATTATGTATGTCCGCTTCTAGTGTCTATAAAAAAATATATTTTAGGTCATGCTTTTTTGGTGTAAAATATGAAATACTTCAAATAAAACAGAAAACAATTATATTAAGGATCAATAATATACCAAATTTTATAGCATTTACAAAACGTGTTTATGAATTTTGTTTAAAAAAGTAACATTTGTCGTAAACAAAATTCATAAACATTAGAAAGTTTTTAATATTTTAGATAATATTTTTGCAAAATTGCACAATTTCCCTTTTTTTAATTTTTTATCGTGTTTTGTGCCATTTTGTTTATTTTGTACAATATTGAGTAAATTGGTATTTATTACATGTCTGTGTTCAATGAAGTGTAAAATTAGGCAAAGTAAATAAAATTATGCAAAACTACAAAAGCTACATCAAAAACCTATATATATATTTTTAAAAATGAATCAAAATGTAAATGGGACTCCTTCAAATGGCCCTATCGAATTTAAAAGACCCAATTCCAACTAGTGGGGTTCAATACTCCAAACCAGCGATTATCAACCGGGATTCCCCGAAACCCTAAGTTACCGCAAAAGGTACCCAAAATTTGACAAAGAAGTATTAATTTTTCCTTAAATTAGTTATTCAAAAATATATACTATGATATTTACCACGTGAACTACGATGAAAATAAAATGAGAAAGATATGGTATATAATTTTGTTTTTGCAGGGGGTTCCTTGAGACATCTAATTTATTTAAGGGTCTTGACCCTTAAAATAAATTTAAAAAAAAAGGTAAAAAGGTTGAGAAACGCTGCTGTAAACTGTTTCAAATAATTTCAAAGGGGCACCATTAAATTTGAAAATAAATCTCCTCTGTTCTTATATTATTATTTTTTTTTTTTTTACTTTTATCAAAATCCCGGGACTAGAGGATACATGGGATCGCACTTGTCCTGTGTCCCTAGCCTGCAGCACATACTAGCTCACCCGGCACTGCTTAGGACCTTACGCAAAACTACAACGGACTCAAATCGTTTTAAGATCGAATAGAAGTAAAATTTTAAATGAATTAAACATCCATTCATC